TATTCTACACCTAACTTCTGTATTACGGATGTGATTGTGACACGACACCACACAGCCTATGCTACGAAGATGTTAATGGTCGGGCATTGGAAGACTCGCTATACCTTTTACTTTCAATGATCATGTCTCACAGCCGTTTAATACTACAATGGTGTTGACAAAATATTCAGCGAACAGTATCATTATTTACTGGATCACCCTTCGGAGAAAATTTATTGTGCAGCATGCATTTCATAAATCAACTGACACAGAGTACACCTAAGTGTATTTTATTTGTCATCAAAGGGAGGATACAAGATTTACTGAACATAAAGTCTAGCTGATTTTTTCACTCTATGACTTACTTTGCCAGCTGTCAACTGACTTAAAAAAACATACAAATAATCATTACCAGTTGGTATTCATCATAGACTGACATCAGTCGCAGAAATATTGAAAAGCTGATTGGATTTGACAGCTCTTTCGTTCTGATATTGGACTGCTCAAAGATGCGCATCCTTGATCTCATTTGGGGTCGATATCAAGACCTTCAGGTTCCACGGCCAGCACGTTACAATTGAACCCCTAGATTGGAACCCAATCACCTGCATTTTTATATCTCTGTCATGTCGTTCCACAGTCCAACCTCCAAGAACATAGTGATGTCACATAGACGACACCTTTGTCATAACCGAATGACAAGGTATAGAAAAAAGCTTTTCAAATGTGTTAGCAACCGTTTCAGCTGCATGGAATTCACTTATGAATTAGAAACAGAAACAAACAAGGCAATGATGTTACACTGGATAATGATCTCTAGAAAATGAATGCTACACATTTCAAGAAAATACTAAAACTTTGAGTCAGCTTAACCACTAGGAGTTAAGTCAAATATATCACCAAAACACCTGTTGACGAGATCTCAGGTGATGCTAAGTTAAACTGGAACCTCAGAAAGCTGACAGACAAGTGGTTTGAAAGGTTTTAAAACAAAACAATTAGGAAGAAGCTTGTCGGAAGTAGACATAAGGAAATCAACGCGTAGACATTGAATAAGCAATGGAGTCCTTACTACTCCAAAATATACATTAGAAGTAACAAGGCCTATCCTGAACAGTTAAAACATCAGGATTTTCTTCCTAGAGACAAACAAACACTCTGTCTTCACACACTAGTTAGAATTAAGCGTTCTAATTCCTCATCTGGCAAAACAAAACTATGTTTACAAGGTGGACTGTAGTGAATACGATGCCAGATATATTGGAAAGACATCACGTCCACTGAGAACACATGTTAACAAGCCTAGTCGAAGTTGGGGTCCACGGGACAAGAGGAACCAGTGGCTGGAGAATCTAAGTGAACCGATATCAGTGGCGCAGATGTATATACATATTACCCTCATCTTAAAGCTTTCTCAAATCACACCATTTTCTCATTCTTACCTTCTCTCTTTTAGTTGTTCATGTTTCTTTTGACTGAATTTTAATTCTATTTGAGAGTAACACTTGTGCACTGTGGTAGAACGCAATTCCATTTTTATTGATTTATAAGATTTATCACACAGTGTAACAGTATTGTTTACTGGATTACGTTTCGGACCTAATTTATTGTCCATAGTCATATCAAGATAACTACACAACTTTGAGATATCCTTTATATAATTCTCATTTCCTCTTCTCTTTGTGAGATGGGCAGTAAGATTTTCCATATGTCCGGAACGGGTGCTGAGTCATTCTTGTTGCATGTGTTAGGTGTTGATTCGATTCGATTCCGCATATATGGAAAATCTTACTTCCCATCTCACAAAGAGAAGAGGAAATGAGAATTATATAAAGGATATCTCAAAGTTGTGTAGTTATCTTGATATGACTATGGACAATAAATTAGGTCCGAAACGTAATCCAGTAAACAATACTGTTACACTGTGTGATAAATCTTATAAACCAATAAAAAATGGGATTTTAAGTTCCTTCATCTTCCACTTCACTGACTTTTTACTTGATGTGCTGATATAAGATGTGGCAACTCGGACCGTTACGCAGTAATGCCTGGTCCTGTGTTGATAGATGATGATAATGATCCAAGCGGCAACCTAAATACTCCTTTGAACTGGAAACTAACTTGTAAAAGGCTCTATAGTCACAGATCTTATCTTATACTCAGATAAGAAAACATCATTTTAAAAGGCGAAAAGATTTTTGTTTATCGGTTCGTTCTCCAGTCAATCCAGAAAAGACGGAATGGGTATCTCACAAATATGGCAAACATTAGTGAGACTTTCAAATAATATACAAGGGGAAAGTTGTGAACAATTTAACGTCACATTGTTCCACATAATTTATTCAGAACATATTTAGCTTTCCTAATTGGTAGCTTGTTCTTACTGTCAACTCCGCCACCACGCAGATGATTCTTCACCTCCAATGTACATTCATAGTTGAACAAAATTCCTCAACAGATATTCTTGTACGACCTTACTTGCTCAAAGTGAATAGATTTCTCTGACTGATTTCTTAATGCCAGAATTAGCGAACACAAATTAGTTTCTCAACGATACTAACCTCATTAGTTAAACAATTGCATTTAAAGACATTAATTACAGTCCAATGGTTGTCAATGGGCAAAACGACTTGGTGTAAATGCCACCTTAATTGCAGCCTGAGAATTCTACGAATGCTTTCTCGTGTTTCTTCCCTATATGGCAACACAATGGTAGCCCTACACTTCGCACTAATTGCATTGTTGTTGCTTATTCCACCATTTCTTATGAGGTTAGAATAAATTTCCGAGTTCCACATCTGACTTGTTTGCTTACGCTTATAACCAAGGCTGAGTCTATTGATGTGTGGCCAGACGACCTGATATTTGCATGTCCATCAAATTGTGATGACCTCTGTGAACAGAAAGGATTTAAACCACCATCTTGTCTTTGTTGCATGCCTTGGAATCCAACATAACCAATTCTCCTAATTCAAATCAGGCTCTGAATGACGAAGTACTTTCACAGAATACTTGTCACCGTATTCTGACTGGTTTTGTAGTCTTGATATTATGTAGACGGCGACACAATCAATTAAGATCTCTTTCTTCAGTTGACAACCTTCCCAACGAAATCCTTGCCAAGTCTACATCGATAACCGTGTAGCTACCGACTGTTGTACACAACAAAATCCTAAACAGAGTCACTCGCCTTCCTCAATCATTGCGAACAGAAGCGTGTTGAAATCTTTCAGTGATAAAAGAGGACTAGTTAAAATGAGAGTTTCAGTTTGAGGGATTTTATTTATTTCTGAGTGGTATTCATCAAGGACTTTCATCAGCTGGAGAACTACTGAAAGCCTAAGAGCTCACTGGACAGCTGTCCCATAGTACTAGTACGGAACTAACTTCTCAGTACTATGCACCCATAACCCCGCCAGGGATCGACCTCAGCATCTTCAGATAGCGTAGCGAACGCGTTGAAAATTGAACCAATGAATTTGAATTCAATGGTCCATAGTTTCCAACTTCTGTCAATTTGAGACAAAGTGCGACTATCCACATGTTCGCCACGTCATCTGAAGGTTCCGAGTTTCATCAGTAGCCACATCATGGGTGCGTATTGCTCAGGAACCAGTTCCACACTAGTTGAACAGATTAGATGTTCACTCCTCTCATGTCTTCAGTGGTTCTGCAACGACGTCAATCCATAATGCATGCCATCTGAAGATGAATTGTTGCAGCAATCGACCGTGTAATTCGAATGGAGATTCCAGTGTGTAAAAGTTTCTTTCTCGACAACATCATCCTCTGCAGTTGTGCAATTGCATTTCAAGATATTACTTACAGAGCGTGTCTATTGGTGAAGACCTTCGATATTTTGTCAACTAGTAACGTAAGAATGTGGAAATATTTCATAAGGTGTGACGTAGAATCAATAACTGATATATTCGTAACAAATTGAGTAGATAGTTAGTTGTCAGTGAACAAGGCACTGGGAAATTTCTAACTGAGCTAATCGAGAATCATTCACATAGTAACAAAATGGCTTTTAGATACACAGTTCCGTGGTCAATTATTATATTGACAGAGCATAAGAAATGCAAAGTACACACTTTTTCACAACCTTTACGAAATTACTTTATTGTATTTTGTAGGCTAGTGCAAACGAATCTTCTGCCGACAATCTTTTTCAACCATGTACAACAAAACGAACAAAGTCTTCTGTTTATTGCCTGCCAACATCTACTTTTAGCCATCTGTGTGTGTAAGCATAACTGAATTGATTTCCTGACCACAACGCACCATAATTTATAAAAATAAAACAACCAGTTAGTTTCAAGCAGAAAAAAATATATGGGATAATGTAAAATATACTAGGATTGATCGATTTCACTCAACAGACAATTATTTCAGAACTATAAGTCACACAGAAATTAGTGAGGGCTGAATCAGAAGCTCTTTAGCCGAGCTATACAACAATAATGCCATCGAATAAGTCTTATATCTCTCTTTCATTTGTCCGTTATAAAAGACGTTAATTGAATCCAACCTATCGAATGGATAGGCATGAAATTTAAAGATTCATTGTACTGCTTCTAATTTCAGATCTCATAAAAACCATAGCAAAACTTGTTCACTACACGTACACCGGAGTAATTAAATACTACGGCGTCATTGATTGAACCCAACTGATCCACCATTATTGACATATACACTCCTAGGTAGGTCTCACCGCTGGTAGCCACTATGCGTCATTACAACTGAACCGAAATCACCTTCACAGTATCGAGACAGTCGATATGCGCCAATAAATGACTGATCAATTCAACACCCGTCGTACAAGGAATGGCTGGTGTAAACCAGTAAAAGCTCTGGGCTCGAGTCTCAGTGGGGATAACACTACTCGTCACTGAGGTGCAGGTACATCCAGCTGACGAGTGATTCCCAAAAGGAGACCTAACCCTAGACTTTACTGCTAGCCATAACCCATCAACAATATCAAGACCGAAAATACAGGCTTCTGTGGCCTAGTGAATAACCCTTTGACATTTGAAGCTCTGTGAGTGTATGTGATGGTGACGTTCAAATCTCGGGTAGGTGTACATCCGCAGCTGACAAACCACTTCTGAAGTTCACTGAAATAACATGAAAGACATAAAAATAAATAGTAAAGAAGGCGCATAAATATCCATACAGTTACATATTTGCGAAGACAATGTCGAAAACGGATATACAAGCAAAATACGAGACCATTTTAATCCATTTTGTCTAACTGAAATACCTCAGTGGTATACTCGACTGACGACCCCTGCTCCGCCATTAAGCATATCATATGAATTTGTAAAGATACAAACGACTGGCAAAAAATCATACACATTACAATGTAAGCAAGCAAGATACAAGTTGTTTTATGCAAAAATTGTCAATTTTCTTTTCAGTTTTTGGGTTAAGGAATTGTTGAAATAATATTTTTTTGACGTCCAAACGGTCCAGCAAACAAAGCGAGTTTTGATAGCGGGACACCACAATTGTACAACTCAGGAATATGTACTTGACTTCGGTAATAATTGATTTTATTCTCGAAAATCTAAAAGAATAAACAGTGACATAATTTTATGAAATAATAATAATTCACTTTATTCCAAACAACTTGTGGTACAATTTGGATTTCTCAGCGAGATATATTGCAACAACAACAAAATATAAGTATATACATACTCCTTTACAACACTTCGAATCATCTTATTATAAGAATTTACGTAATGCAAAGAATATTAAAAAGGAGAACATTTTACATTGTTGAGTTATTCAAATGAGATTTTTAACTGTCACAAAGTTGATGTGTGATTTCTGTTCTAACACTTTTTTCCTCACAAAATATACGTGCAAGGTAAGGTACAGTCGAATTCTTATACTTAGCTGTACGAGAATACAGTCTTTGTCCTCCCTGAGGAGATACATGGAGAGAGCTGTAAATGAAGTGGATGCTCACTGTCAGTTAAAATTTCTGTAGCTAGTAGCTTGCAGGAATTTATATGTCGATCAACTACAGTGTTAATCAGTTGAGCCAGAGACACACCACTCACCCTGCTGACGGTCTTCAAAGCCCTACGCAACATAACATAGTCCTTTTTAAGAAGACCAGGAAAGATTAATGGGGAACAATATAGAAGAATAGGTAAAATGCAGGAATTAATAAATTGTAAAAGAAGCAGTTGAGTTATACCAGAAAGCCTCAATTTCTTTACGTAATAAGTTAAACGAAAGATTTTTTTACAAGTCAATAAAATATGGGACGACCAACAAAGGTCAGAAGTAAAACACAACCCAAGATAGTTCACACTCGATTTACTTTCTGCAGAAATACCATTGATGCAGCAGGCGTCATGAGATTTAAGCAGCTCACATAAGTCTTGTTTACGCCTGAGGCTAAAATTAACGGTCTGACATTTAGAGGGGTTTAGTTTGAGACCATTTGAGAGAGACCATTTACCAACTTCAGACAAGAATTCATTTAATTTCGAGCAATCCAAAGAAGAGTTTACTGGAATAGAAATCGTCAGGTCGTCAGCATACTTGATAAAATTAGTTTCAACAGAATAAGGCAAATCGTGCAAAAAAAGGAAAACAGAAAAGGAGAAAGTACAGCACCTTGAGGCACACCAGCTTCAGTAAGCAATGAAGTGGAGCGCATCCTTTATGAATAGTGTACTGTTTCCTTTCAGAAAAATAAGAATGCAGCCATTTTGTAACCCATGGATCAGTGTGAGCTATGGCAAGCTTATTTAACAAAAGTGGTCTAGGAACAGAGTCAAAGGCTGATGAGTAATCCAAAAAGGCACAACGGACATACTTAACACCTTTGTCGAGACTAGAAACAATATTATGATGCAAGACAGTAGCTGCATCTAAAGTACTCCTCCGGTGTTTGTAAGCAAACTGTTTTGGATCTCTGAAGGCCATCAATGAAGGCTCAATCACAAGCAGAAGTAATTTCTCCATTGTCTTCAGAAAAGGGGAAGTTATAGCGATGGGTCGAAAAGTAACATCTGATCCAGAAGATGGCTTAGGCACAGGTACAATTTTTATCTGCTTCCAAGCAGTGGGTATTATGTTTTTAGAGAACGATACATTGAAGATATCTGTAAGTGGATGACACAAAATATCTGCACATTTTCTAAATATGATACTAGAAACACCATCAGGACCTAAGCTTTGGGAGGGATTCAAAGACTTTAGACATTTAAATACATCATTTGTATTGAAACCTGGAAAGCAGCTATCCACTTGATTTTGCACATTAGGAAGGGTGAAATTAGCTTGCCGACGTATAAATGACTTGTTTAACGCGCAGACATCCGAACGAGTTTGTGTTGTCATCTGTTTTTTACCAGTAAGCTCTTTAAATAATTTCCATATATTGGAAGAGTTCTTACACGATAAGAACTTATTGTATATAGTATTCAGACGTTGTATTTCAGACTTAATTAGGCAGTTAAGCCTTTTAACGCCAGGGTGATCTCTCGCCTTATACAACCTTTCCTTTTCTCTCCGAAGCCTCTTGAGATGAGGAGAGGAAAGTCTGTCAAATCTCATGTAAATTGTTTCAGTAGGGCAGCAGATATCGAGACAGAATCTGAGATAGCTTGTGATATTGGTAATAGTGTTGTCTAAAACTTCATCAGCAAATATATCCCAGTCCGTTTCTATAAGCATGCTTCTCAAACGTAATATATTTTCTTGTGAATAGCATCTGTATTGAACTTTCCTTGAAAGGTATGCAAAAGCTTTCTTGTATAATTTTCCGTACACTTTAGGCAAAACACGAACGATACAGTGGTCGGAATTTAGCAGTGGAGCCCGTTTACGGGCTTCATATATGCCAGGTTCATTTGTAAATGCAAAGTCTAAGGTGTTGTCAAGACGAGTGGAAAAGTTAACCATATTTTTATGACCCAATGATAATAGAAAACTGTAGTCACATGAGTTAAAATCACCACAGACAATAGACAAGGAGTTTCCCAGAACCGGAGCAGCAAATTCAGTGAATTTATCAGCAAAAGTTGACAAATCTGAGAAACTGCAGTCAGGTGTGACATACATGTTTGTGACATATATGTATTTGTATTTGCTCAAATGTTTGGGGTGACATTTGATGGTAATGCACTCAATTTTTTCGTTAGAGAAGCAGAAGCATACATAGTTGGAGGACGACCAGTTAGTACTAATAAATGTTGCTACACCACCACCACATTTCTTCTTCGAAAAGCTTCGATCTTGTCGAAATAATTTGAAACCATCTAAGCAGACTAAGTCATCATCATACAGATTATGAAGCCATGTTTCCTGCAGCATTATTACACCCGTGTTTCGATAAACATTTGTGGACAAGAGTGACTGAAGGTAATCAACTTTATTCGGCAACGACCTGCAGTTTGTGCTAAGTATTTCCGGAATAGTCATTTGATCTATGGTCATACGCTTCAGAGCTCGTTGCCATCCACCGTGGTGCTTCTTCTTAAATTTCCTATCAACTTGCGAAGCGATAGGTTGTAATGATTTTAAAAACGCGCGAGAATATACAATACGATTGGTTGACATAATTAAACGATTAAAACAATATAGAAATAAGAAATTTGATGCAATATACTCGGTGATAGAAAAAGGTAGCCCACAGTTTTAGCAGGCCGCCAACATGAAGAAGTTATAGATTGTATATTGAAGGGGAAAAAAGTAGTTTGCTTTACTTTCTCTTGTAGAGATTTGTTAACACTCTCATTATCAGTACAGTATCCATCTGGAACATACAAACTGAAAACGCACATGTGTAGCCATGTAATAATGCTGTATGCGTTATTCCTTCCAGGTTCAGACAGACAACATGAACGTAGGACCTCGTACACAAAACTGGATCAGCTTACGTTGTCACACATATCCCAGTAATGTGCAAAGAACAATTGAATCGAAAAAGAGAGATACCAAAGTAAATTAAGTGGTGTGAGAGAAAAGACAATTCGACGATTTGAAGGTAAGTGAAAATATTCAAGCTCTGGAGGCAATCAAATAGTGAATTTATCTTTGCCATGCCACAGAGTCTTTAACCACAGATCAATCTATTGCTTCGAGGACCTGAAGCAGGTAGTCTACACCTCCCTACACGGCTCAGAACAACAGTCAGGGACTTCATCAATAGGTACCAGCTCTTGGTCTGATCACCACCTTCCAACTTCCCCTAGTATCGCACGTCAAGGTACGGGGTGATGGTGGATCGGCACATCCTCTAGTACATGTGGAAGCCATCTCAGTGGATGATGGTTGACGACGTCATCGTCATCAATCAACTTGCGTATCAGAACAGTACAGTAGAGTACAGTGCAGTGCAGTACAGTAAAGTACCATTCGCCTTACGTGAACATTGGTGGCACGGTGTTGATTGCACCAAACGCGAGCATGCTACTTAGACATGTATGGTGAGAAGCGGATAAATGCTTGATGTCTTCTACTTTTGATGGGCATGTTCCACAGCCGTAGAGGCGCATGAGAAAAGGGAGTTGTGTGGAGCGTGGTCTACTCGTGCTTTGACAGTTAGTCGGATATCTCGTGAGCTGGCAAATGTCAAACAAACCTTCTGTATCCGACCTAAGAATTTAGGTTAAACAAAGAAGAACAGCACATCAACTAAGGTGTCAAATGACAGGAATCAAACTGTAGGGAACTCTGGACCTATCGACAGCGAAATCGCTTACCCACTCGAGACTAACCCGTCAACATACTCCAGTTCTCCAAAAGGTCATGGTATCTCCAGTAGCTAAATGATTACGTCCGTGACTTTTGCAGTGTGACACCGGTCGGGATCACCAAGAGGACACTAACTTCAGTATGATTGCAGACACCCCTTACTGATGAATCGCAAGAAGGACCCACCATCTATCACCATAGTGTCTTATTACTTCACTTCGTGACCACATCTCTTTCAGTTCCCTTCTACTGAAAGCCAGCGTATGTACACATTGTTTGTAGTCAATAATTTTGATTTGCAATGGCAATTTGGATAAATTAGGATACCCTGGTAACAGCCAGAATTTATCAACATGAGTTAGTCAAGGAAGTAAACTTCCGGCTTGATCGATTCAAGTGACAACCTGAACACCTCTTCTTTTATCTCAGTTGATCCACTGTATGATAGTGTTTTGAGATGTCTTTATTGATCATAGTGGAATCTAAGAGGAGCATTTCGTCCTATTTGTGACTCGTCAGCTGGACGTGGGTACATCCAAATGAGATTCGCCTTCAGTACATATCGCTTCAAACATCAAAGCGTTATCCACTAGGCCACTGAAGAATGATAGCCACGTCTTGCGAAACAAAACCGAAGTCCCCGAGTGAAATAATAATAAATATGTGGACGATACTGATTCAATGAGAAACGTGGACTGGATATGAAGAGAGACTGTTCTCCCTAGGTACCCTGTACTTCCCTGAGCCACACAAATATCGTCGAAAGACGATGACTCACCTGTGACTGTAAGGTAAATACTTTATCCGACAAAAATAAATCATTTATATACAACAATCCTCATGAACATATAAAACCACTAGGTCCAACGTTGAGTAGTTTATTCTGATTGGTCAACTGCAGGGTGAAACTGTCCAATAAGGTTTTTCCTGACCATACAGTGACATGAAATAAAAATTGAGGTACACAGCTACTACCCTGGTGGATGATGACCTAAAATGTTGATTTCTATTGAGTTCCTTATCAAATAGCTATACTCAGTCTGTGTGACAACAGTCAACCATTTTTCGACTCAAACATATTGCCAGCGACCACCACAAAATAAGCGACATCACGATTTTATAATAGTCTCAACGGTAAATCAAAAGATACCATTGTACTATTCATTTCTTCATCAAAAAAATGGGTGTTATAATGTACAATCAGACTATTCAGATCATTGTATAGAAAGTGGTACATCCCTGACGTCTTTCACAACCAATCATTGTGCTTCAAAGTTTCGAGAATACCCGCCCCGTGATCATACGTGTAAATATCTGATTGCTTGAAGAGCCAACATCAAAAGTGGAGGATCTAAAAGTTATTGTCCAACTGTTCAAGTGATGTCACTCAGCTGCTTCAAATTGATCCCAACTGAAGACACGTGTAAAGTGTAATCCAAGTTACTCCGAATTATGTGACGAGGTTTTAATGGTCCATTTCGACTGATGTGAATTTCTAAGATGAGCAAATAACCTTTAGAAGGTGAATGCAGGTTGATATGTTAGAAGTGCAAGTCAACGACAATGTACAGACGATCTACGAGGTGTTCGAACCCATAGGTCAATACTAAGATGTCGACACAGGATAAGATACAAACTGAACACTCTATGTCTGTGGTATATATAAGATTGTTGTGTAATTCGACAGTGTTGTACTATTCTTTACACCTACTATACGTTTTCACTGAACACCGGATATCGAATCCTGCCGCCTCCGCCGCTTAAATTTTCATTTCATCTCCAATCATCAGGCAGTAGCAATACCAGTCGGCCAACCAGGTTCGGCATACTTTCATGCACACTGCGAGCGACCAATTAAATTACACTCAAGTGAAGTAGCACGCTGTAAATATCTATGGACAACTAATTAACTCACTCCCCTGTGAAGCTCTCATACACTAATGACGATATGCCTAGCATGACAGTGAAAATTTGCCAATTAAAAAAGACATACAACAGAGATCAGTTCACCCTAAAAATCCATACTGTGAACTGCAGATCTTTGTGACAATCCCAAGAGCACAGGATATTCAATTTATTCGTAAGAATGAGATCTTAAACAAAACCAACGTAGAACCTGACAAACAAATACATCATTCCAAGTTGCCACACCTCACAGTACCAGGTGAAAGGGTCAATAAAACATCTCCATTGTGACTGATCTCACCCACGTCACAGATTAGTTCCTACGGTCTCCGCGATCCAAGCCAGGTAGTTTACACCTCTGAATGGCTTAGGCCACCATTCAAAGATTTCATGTACAATTGCCATGTTCTGGTGTAGCCATTCTGAGCCGTCTTCCAACCTAATCCAACTTTTGTTAACACCTAACACTGAGGCAGGTGGTAGCTCTTCATGTGTAGTATATTTCAAAGCCACTTCAGTCGATGAAGGTTCATAACCTCACCCACATACTTTCCTTCCTCGCCCACTACCTTTCGCTAAAACTTGACATCTATCACACATGGTGAGACTATCATATTTTCTACTCTCAACAACCGTATGACAAAACAGAACAGCCAGGTATTTTTCACTGTGACCAAAGACTAGGGCATTATCGAATGTCTAAACAACCCACTGTGTAGTAAGAACTGAGATAAACTTTTTGGAAAAGTTAGATGACCAGACCTTATTGAAACACAACCCTCACCCACACACAAACAGGGTTTGAACCCCTGAACCATCTATCTAAACCAACCAGCCATAGCTTACTGGCTAACAGTCTATTACTAGGATAATTATTCTCGTTTTTTGTGATTACTCTAAGGATATTACCACCTCAATCCCAAACACCTGCGCACACATTATCTCTCAACATTCCCAAATCGCTCTGTATTTTTACTTCAACAACCTTACTTTTGTATTACCACCCAGCAGCTGTGGCCCGTTCTTGTAGGCACAGATGACTTTCAACCAGTAGTTGGTCCCGGTTTCCATCTATTGAAATTTGGCCAGATTAACTGAGTTCCACAACATCTGCGTCCATCCAGAAGGTGATACTCCACCACACACCTAATGTGTAACGGTTAGTCATACTATTACTACCAGGCTACCCGCTCAAACCTCGGTAGGAGGGACACGGGGTTCGAACTCATGACCGACTGGTTAGAAGTCGAGTGGCTCCAGTAACCCACTACAGAACCAGGGATTCGTTCGACGTAGTGAAGCTGTGAACATGTATATGTAGAATAGTGATTGACTGGATTAGACGTTGAAAACTTTGAACAATGAATTACGGACTCGAACCCCAGCCAATCCACCTATTCAGGTGTAGATAGGGTAGTCACAGTCTTATTCCTTTTTGTACAACCAACTATGAACTTGTATGTTATTGATTTCAAGTTGCTATTCATCACCGACCGTTTGGCCCGACTAGTGTGGGACTCTTCAGCAGTGAGCACCAATGACCCTTTTAGGGGTCGGACCCACAACCTTCGAGTTCTGTGGCTAGCCACTGGGTCAAAATCCAAAAGTTCACACTTCCCTACCTCTGTCAATTGGCGATATAGCGCACGTGCGACCTTCATCCAACGCCATCTTTGAGCTCCTGTCCTCATTTATAATTTAGCATGTGTCTAACTAATCTATCTAACTCACGAGGCATATCTACAAGCTTGAGAAAATTAATCCACCCCACCCAGACACTCAAAGTTGCTTCATTCATTACTGAAGTGCCAGAGGCACATCAACTAGTTACTGATGTTAAAACTTATCTTCTGTAAGGCGGGATGATGCTGACCTTTGCACATCATAAAAAGACCTAACAAGCCACGCTGTTGCTGCAGTGCTCATTCCCTTGAGGTCCCACCATACCCGAAAGGTAAGCTGGACAGTGTTAAGATGAAAAGCAGTCACCGTTATCGTATGAATCGCTACGTTGTGGTACAACAGTGGCGGGATCGAGGACGAAGTCGTACTGCCAACTGGACGGTAGTGTGACAGTAGTAGGGCATTCCCCGCGGATGCTCCCTTACGCATGGGAACCTCCAAAAGGACGTATGTCACCGGTCTCAACCATATGTCCCATGATTGTGTACCACCTAAAAAATGAGATAAGCTTCTGCCCAAAGTCTGTGTACAGCCGGAAAAGTGTCAACCAGACGCCTGACAACTCAATCAGTAGTCAACCAATGAGTGAGATTTAACAACCATTGGGCTACAGATTCCAGCCGTGTTCCACCTACCTATCTACTGAAGTTTGGGCGGCAGCCAGGAAGGAAATAAAATGAACATCACAAGTTGAACTTACTCCAATACTTTTCGGTATCATTTGTGAAGATAAATGAAGCAGATGATGATTGATGTACAACACGTTGGCAGCGTGATCCTCCGGTAGGGTTATCACCTTATAGGTGTGTGAAGCGACACGACCAATTTCCTAAAATTGTGTGCAGAAATGAAAATAAACAAGACAAAAAACATTTATGATGAGTAGCGGCTAGCAATTAAATCTAGTTTGGCGGGTGTTTTGTCCAACTTGGAATTAACTCCCCAGCTGGATGTACTCGCCCTCCCACTAGGACTCGAACGGAGGACCGATCACTTCAAACGTCAGAGCGTTATCCACACTAAGCTACCCACTGAGTCACAATAGCCCATATCCCAATACAGACCGATCAATTCGGTCTTTTCAATGGCCTAAGAGTTGTTGACTTTGAACGGGTGAGTGGATCATAGGGTTCAAAACCAACCACCGCCGACACCACGCTCCACTTAACCTCCCAGTTAGTTAGTATCAACACGGCTAAGTGTTTACGTGCATACAACAATAGTCAAATGTTGAAAAATTAGGCAAAGACGTGGGTTACATATGCGTTAGTGTGACTAGTTTTCGGTTGCGCTCCAGACTCGAATCGATGAAGGTTAGATGGACGAAGCCGATAGGCGATACGCAGCTCTGCTTGACACAGGTTTCGAGCTTGTGGGATGGTACTCATCAGCGAGGCACATATCCGCAACCTTTCCGGTAGGGATGAGAATCCGAATCGCTAAGCCCTGGAGTCAGATACATTACCACTGAGCTAATCAGGGATTGCTATAGGTTATCTCTGAAGCTTTTTACTCCACGGTTACACAAGGTGACATAATGCACTGCGGACAGGAACGATGACCAGATCGCCTACAGTAACCTATGGCCTCGGCAGATACAAGTACGACTGGAATTACCAGATGGTTGATCAGCCAATCAGGGAAATTAATAATCGTATCGCACACATACAGGCACAATTCTGTACGAGGTTTTCTGAGAATCTCAACAGCAGGAAAATCAGTAGATCGCTTATAACTTCGGCTAGAAGTAGATTTATTACTCATGTGAAGTGGAACCAGCATGTATCAACAACAAGATAGACATAATTACAACCAACTGTTACACCATGACATCTATATAACAATTAACTAAGTGCTTAGTGAGTTGCGACTAAAGCGTCATTCCTAGCAGCAGCTCCATCCCCCTTGGGTCGAAGTCTAATGAAAATACTGAAGAGCTGTTTCATCAAGTATATGACTCCTCAGTAGTGTTTACACATGACCACACCCCGCGAGCAATCCGCCCTAGGACGAGAAGACTGAATTCAATTGGTCCACTACCTCCTAACCTAATCATTTCGTGATATAGCGCAGCCATCATTCAATGTGTCATCGGTGGGTATTCATCGATCCACTGTACACAACCGACTTACTTGATACCATCGATTCGTTCATCTTATTCGTTACATAGCTTTAGGGAAAGTTGTACAACGAGTATAACCAGTTAATCGTGAGCGCTAATCACTCAGCGAAGATATAGTTAAGTGACTCATATCAATGTGATATGATTATGAGCAATAATTTATGCTCGGAACGTAATCAAGTAAATAATACTGTATCACTGTGCGCTTTACATCAAATAAACAAATCTAATATGGAATTACATTCTACCACAGTGCCCAAGTTTTTCACTTATATTAATGACTCAGTTTATGTTGTAGCGTTATCATACTCAAGAATCTCTTTTCTTCTATATACGCCTGATCAACATTTCCGCATCTAAAGGGATGGCAGCATCTGGTGGTTAGCAGAATCACATGCAGCACACTGCCTTCTCAATAATTACGCAACTCTTGGAGTCTAGGGAATGTGGGAGAAGTGGTCGATTGCGCTGATCACTTCACTTTGGGGGGGGGGGGTGAGTAATATAAACCCAAATAAGTAGGTTGCTGATGAATTTTCACCTGTGATCCCGAAGGCCCTTTCGGAATTTGTTTAATTGAGTCACCTCTGGCACCGACTGGCTAAATTTTCGACTACCTAATAAGAAACAAGTATACTGCTATAAGACATGGCCGTTAAAAGCAGAAGAAACGAGGTGTTGAAAGCTTCTAAAGCAGGCTTCTTCAGAGCTTTGCTCAATTAAGATAAGATCACAATCTGACCGACATCATCGATATCCGAAAAGAACTTGGGAAGACCGCTAAGCAGATCAGTCGAAAAGATGTGAACCTTCATCAACAGACGTGCCTTGAACAGGACAAGAGAATGCCAGGAATCCTAGTCAAAGTTTGAGTATGTTGAAAAACGATTAGAAGTGGTCAGGTGGGGCACTGCACCAGTGCATCAAGTCATAGAAAACAAATATGAGTCGTGTAAAAGTGTGTAGAATAACTGACTGAGGACCACTAAACAACAGAGATCATCTGCACACAACTACTAACATGGACACAAATCAGTTACAACGGTAAACTCCGATTCACCCATTCACATCTTCTAATATTTGGCATATTTACACTAACCTTCACATCGCTTAGTCTCTCACACACACACACACTACTCTATTCACTTTCATATCACTCTTCTCCTATCCTATCCTATCCTATCCACCTGTTCTTTGTCTACTACTGTATGTCAAGTGTCAAGTGTGGCAAATTGAGTCGATCCACCTGTGTCACAGGTTCTACCTTCATTCTCTCAGTCACACAGTCACGTCCCACAACCCATACATATCTGATGCGTTACTGAAGCTCGAGAAAACCAGTCAGTTTCCATACATCAACGAGGATGCACGCATCGTATTTCACCCTACGACAGGTTGTAGAACACAGGCATACCTACCGGTGATCGACACTTGCCACATTTCTCCACCTGTAAGCGGCATTCGACTCTGTCGACCGTCAAGTGTTGTGGCAGTCTGAACATGCAGTGAGGGAGTATCGAGCAAGTACGTAACGCCAATCAAACAAAGATCACCCGATACGGGTGAGACAGACGAACAGTTAGAGATTTGATCTACTGGTGCGATGTGTTGGTGTGGCCGCGGTGATGAAGCGTCTTCCAACGTAATCCAACTTCCCCTAGGTAGGATAGTGAGTGGTAGGTGGAGGGAGGGAGGGGTGGCTCGACATGTCCTCCAGTATATGTGGAAGCCATCTCAGTGGACGATGGTTGACGACGTCATCGTCATCAATCGACTTGCGCATCAGAACAGTACAGTTCAGTGCAGTGCAGTACAGTAAAGTACCATTCGCCTTACGTGAACATGGTGACACGGCGTTGATTGCACCAAACGCGAGCAATGCTACTTAGACATATATGGTGAGAAGTGGATAAATGCTTGATGTCTTCTACTTTTGATGGGCATGTTCCACAGCCGTAGAGGCGCGTGAGATAAGGGAGTTGAGTTGAGTAGAGTGCAGTCTCCTCGTGCATTGATTGATAGGTAGGTAGGTAGGTGGGTGTGTAGGTAGTCGTGTATGTGGGGAGTTGTGAAATGTGAAACGAGCCTTTTGTATGCGAGGTGAGATTTCGTTAGGAACCAGGATGTTCAGGTTGATGGAAGTGGCGAAGTGAAGTAAGTGAATTGGTCGACACATTGGACGACTTCACTGCGTATCGTTAAATGAAAGTCATTTGGAGACGAGTTGTGGAGCTTCCTTCATCTCACTCATATTTGACAGGTGCCGAACATACTGATATTTGTAGTGAACACGTGGAGAAGACCGTGGATTATGCCAGCGTGTTCACCCGGCAAGACAATATCGTCTGCATACTGTAAATCAAGCAGATGGCCTCGATGGAGTAGTAGTAGTAGTAGGTGAATCTATCCCTGTGAAGTCAGACATACTAACTAAGGTTATGTCGATCAGTACATGTATAGCAACGGAATCAGTGGGCATGCCATTGTGGATATCACTAATTTTCGTGGATTCATATGCAACTTTGCATAAGCTCTGACACAGCTGCATCAGTTTGAGTAGGTAGTTTTTTATAGCGTTTTATACTTTTTCGGTACTCTTTTCACAGCAAGACATCATCACAATACCTCACGGTCGACAGAGTTAAATTGAGCGATCAGGTCAAGACATATGGCAAGTGGCGGTCGTCGGTAGGTATGCCAGCGCTCCAGAGGGGTGCAAATATAATCGATGCACCTTCGTCCACGTCTGCTCGAAACGTACCTGGTCTCTCGAGTTTACTGTTTTCGCCCTGTAGTTAGGCGTTGGATAACTTATGGGCCCTGGGATCTTGGACACAATATTAGTTAAACGAATTCAATTATGGTTGTCACAGGAAAATGTTTCCTTCGTCTTAGAGATTGGAATGATCAGTGGAGTAGACCACACTTAGAGCACTAACTCTGACTGCCATACACTACACAGTACATCTGTCACTCTAACCACCAATTTCTTACATCCATCGTTGAAAAGCTCAGGTGGCAAACTGTCAGATCCTGCTGCTGCACATTGTTTCAGGTTCGATACAGCTTTCTCAACCTCAAGGATAGTTGGGGGTCCGACATCTAACGTCATATTCTGGTCCAGACAATATATTGCGCAACTGAAGCGTCGCTGAGGTAAAAAGCTAAATGCCATCTTATGCTCTGTTCCATGACGATCCATAGCGTAGCCTTGCAGGTTGATCCACACATGATTTGTTTTCCTGAAGCCAGCCAACCTCTTTCAGTCATCATTTTGAATCCAGAGCACTTTTCAATCTCTACAGCATGATGCGGCATGATATTTGCTTGCGGTGGACAGGGACAGGAGCATGATTCCTCACCAGTTCTCGCAAAGACTCAGGTCACCCATCCTCGGCAGCTCGACAAGGTAGACCTTCTACAGGTACCTTTCCTTCCCTCCTTCCTTCCAAACCTTCTGCAGTAGTGGTGTCAGCATGTCCGATGCTGTCGTCTCTGAGTCCGTTTTCAGTGCTCCTGGAGGAATTCCCAACTGGTCATGATGCTTTCCTGGATTTCAGAAACTTTACGGCTTTCAGGAATTCACTTCTCCTCTCACTGATACTTCTGTGGCTGGGCTGCTGGTGGTATTTCTGGACGACTTGCAGGTGGCGCTGGCCAATTCAGGAGCTTTCTGAGGTGGTCAGACCATCGTTTCCCCCGTTTCT